CTGTGTGTGTGTCTTTGTGTGTGTGTGTGACTGTCTGCCTGTGTATGTGTGTGTGTGTGTGTGTGTGTGTGAGTGACTGTCTGCCTCTGTGTGTGTGTGACTGTCTGTGAGTGACTGTCTGCCTCTGCGTGTGTGACTGTCTGCCTGTATGTGTGATTTGTGGGGGTGGAGGTGGGGGCAGATTAGTTAATAAATATCCCCCCTCCCTTCTTACCTTATGTAGGGAGGGGGGCCCGTGCTGCTGCCTTCCCTAGTGGTCCAGTGGAGGTGGGGGCAGATTACTTAATATTCCCCCCTCCCTTCTTAACTTATGTAGGCAGGGGGATCCTTGTTGCTGCTGCCTGCCCTGGTGGTCCAGTGGAGAGTGAACTCTAGCCTGCCATGGCAACGCTCAGATCTCGCGAGAGGAACCCGGCGGAACTGCCGACAAGAGCTCCCCGGGTCCTCTCCTGCCTCCCTCCATGCTGCAGTGGGCCGGTGGGGAGGCTTAGAGCAGAGCCGGCGCTCAGATAGCGCTGGCTCTTCATGAGCCGACAAGGGAGATCCTGAGATCTCCCCTGCCAGTCTCACTCCAGAGGCGTGCCGCAGGGATAAGGGTGTGCCCAGGCACACCCGGCACAACCCGTGCGCACGCCTATGCTCCTCTACATCCACTCTTCAAGAGGAGCTATGACTACTAAAGTGTTTTAAGCAGGAGGCTCTTTATCAGACCTGTTAAAAACTGCAGATTGATCTTCAAAATCTACATTTAAACAGTTTTATTTTAGACCTAGCACGCATGTTTCAAAAATAATATTGTAATATCTTAACGATGTATTTGGTATATATTTCTATGTTTATTCAGCTTTTAACATGCATAATACGAGCCACCTGTTTTGTTATAAAATTCAAGATTTTCCTAGTCTTGATGTCAGAAGATATAGATTTTATTAAAGACAGGAGGCGAGTATTGTCCATCCCATTAACCCACCCTGTTCTCTATGTTTCAGCTTTATCCTGTTTGGAGTTTTGTCGTTCTTATGCTTGCAGTACACTCTACTAGATACTTCTTATATCTTCGCAGCTCGAAAGAGGAAGAATATTGGGGATCAGTCACTCTATAGACTATACCGGATGCTGATTGGGTGTTCCATTTCAGTTACTCAGTTAAGTAAAGAAAGTTAATGCATAATACTAGCTTCCTGTCTTTAATAAAATCTATGTTTTCTGACGTCAAGACTAGGAAAGTCTTGAATTCATGTAGTGGAAGGAAGTGGAGGGACTGCACAAAGGGAGGGAGGGGAGAGTGATCTTCCCCTTGCAGGCACCCTACCTGCAGGGGACATTTTTATTAAGTATGTTGCATGCGCGCCGTGCACCCTGATGACAGATGTAAAATATGCACAGAACTGACATTTGACACCCAAAGTGCAAATAACTGTTCTGCATTTTAAACAAAAACTCTGCATATACTGTCTCCTACCACTATGACAGTAACACAGTAAAGGAGTTTAAGCATGCGTGGGATAGGCATAAGGCTATCCTAACTATAAGATAAGACTAGGGACTAATGAAAGTATTTAGAAAATTGGGCAGACTAGATGGGCCGAATGGTTCTTATCTGCCGTCACATTCTATGTTTCTATGTTTCTATGACCACTTTGAATCATTGAACTGGTCATGGTGGTTGAAGTAACTCTTTAATAATGATGTTTTGGTGTATAGATTATTCCATTGCAATCAAACTGCAGTCTGCTCACTTGCCTTTCATTCACCTCCCCATACATGGGAACTATGCAGTCTCCTTGCAGATTTTCTGTAAAGAGAGATCTAATGTTTAAATGTACTTTATCGCATGGCATAGAATTTAGAATTTCTTGTCTCCTGCTCTGCTAATAATTTGCTGGAGCCTGCAGGATTCTCCTGTGTGTGATTAAGGTTTGATTAACAGTGCAGGAGATAAGAACTTCTAAAGTAAACACAATGTCCTGTCACACTGACTAAAAATTAAACAATTTTTTCATGTTGGCTACATGAGTCACATACAGGGGAGGTGTGGCTAGGGCTGAGACTGCAGAGGCATGATCTATATACCAAAACTGCTTCATTAAGCTTGCTAAATTGTTTTGGTTCCTAGAGTATCCCTTTAGACAACAAAGCTTACACATCAATATGAGAGAGCTGCATTTCAAGAGATTGTGTCACAGTCGAGCTTAGGGTACTGGTGATACCCCCATTTTTTTTTTTTTTTTTTTATAAAACTGCTTGAAAATTGTTTGGAAAAAAAATGGGAATACTGTACTGTATTTAAAGAAACATATAAAATGATTGCATTACTTGCTTTCCTGTACAAGTTTTCATGCTATCACATGCAGCATCATTGTACCATTAAAAAGATATAGATCATTTAATAATGTTGGTTCATATTTTGTCTACTGGTTATACAGAGGGAGGAAGAAAGGAAAAGTACAAAATTTTAGATGTTCAAACTGGTATTTATTTTTCTTTATTTAATTAGAATATAATAAATAGCAGAGGAAATCTAGGAAATGAATGAGAAATAATGTTTGTAAAACTGATAGCTCACTCCTAAATTATAAGACATCCTGCCCATTTCCATGTGAATGATTTCAACGTATCTATAAAATAAATGCATTATTAATAGTGCTATAATTATAAACAAAATAAGATATGCATAACTATCATAATATGTTCCAGGAGTCAAAACAATTGTTTAAATTATTTTCTGACTGCTTGAAGATGAAAAATACTCTGGATTGTTTATCAACATTTACTGTTCTCTAAAATATGCAAGTACACCTCTAAAATAGTACGAAGGCTCTATAAATTGGAGTTCATTTATCATCCAATTTGGTTGCTAATCTGATATAGGGCTGGGTAGCTCGGGAATTGTTTGGAAGTCTAGAGAAATTGCCATATTAGTGTTAAATTAAACATAAAGGTCAGCCTCTATGACTGTTTAAGAAACCAATGTACAGACAATTAAAATATATACATAAATGAAACAAAAAAATAAATCATGAATTACTCTGTGATAAAACAGGAGGATCCATGATCTATCACCCTTAGTATTCTCCTACATCATGTGCTATAGTGTGAGGGTCTCTGTTTTATACAGATAGGCCCACAGCCACCCATCTGCTATCTCAATGTGGAATTGGGCTTATGTTAAAAAAGTTGAAATCCAGAAGGCAAATTAAATGACTTGAAACAGAATGTCAGAGAATTCAGTCTTAAGAACGAACAAAAGGCATCATTAATGCTCTGTCAGCCAGTGACCTTATTTTGACACCGCACACATTCTGCACATTTTATTTCAACACAGAACAAATGTGTTTTGAAATAAAACTATTACAACTGCTGAAATCAAAACGTTGCTGCCATTGCATTGCATTGTTATGTCACTTGATGATCTGCAAATTGTAGATTATGCTAGCTTTAGTGTACCTATAATCTTAATTTTATTAATGACAGGAGGCGAGTATTTGCTTAAGACTTTCTTTACTTAAGCTTCACAGCAGCACTTTTTCACATAGTAACAAGGTAACCAATAAGAAAAAAGGAATAACAAGGTATATAGGTCCCTCCCAGTGATGTCATTTCCTCTTTCTGGCTGCGAACAATTAGGAACCGGAACTGAAGGAAACTAGATGAGTGATTCAGGATGCCAGACTTGAGGAGAGATGCTTGAGAGGGAGGCAGGAACGTAGACTTGAGAACGTGAGGAGCAGAGGAAGCTTGTGATGGAGCAGCAACTAGGCTGGATCTCTGAAGGGAGCTTTATGCTGAAACGAGAGAGCAGAGTCGAAGCCAAAGATTAATCCGTGAATTGGACTTTGAAATCATGAAAACCAGTTGATATGAAAACATACATTATTGCACGCTAGCAAAGTGAACCTATATATCATAGAAAAATAACTCCTAACCCCATGGTAGTAAGGCATAGTGTGTTCGTTCTTGTTTTAGAAACTTACCTACAGGGGTGACCCTAGGGTGGGAAAAAACGAAAGTAGGAGTGGTGGGAAATACTCGCCTCCTGTCATTAATAAAATTAAGATTATAGGTACACTAAAGCTAGCATAATCTACAATTTTATAACATGACAGGAGGCTTCGTATTTGCTGTTTTAACGCTCCCCGATAAGGGGCAAGGAAGCGTGCACAGCCGGACGAAAATAGAAGTTGCGGAACGTCTGTTCTCGGGACCAGTCTGCGGAGTGAAGTATGTCTTGAAGTGAGGCTCCAGCGCTGAATGCCCCCGATGCTGCCGCTCCTCTGATGGAGTGGGCTCCAAAGGAGGTTTCAATCCCTGCTAGGGAGAGCAACCACCTAACCCATCGGGCAAGAGTTGTGGTTGACACTGGATTATGAGGCCAGACGTATGAGACCAACAGCTGGCTGGAGGAAGTTGGACGGATAGGTGAGGTGAGTGATAAATAACGAGAAAGAAGAGATACCACACACAATTTCGGGTGGTTAGGGAAATAAGGGTAAAAGATCGAAGAGGAGTTTGATTTTGTCCGCCTGGTCACGGAAAAGGTGACACCCTCTGGGGAAAAGTTGATAGCGTCATGGTCAAAGGCCCGAACATCCGAAACTCTTCGGAAGGACACTAGGCAAAGTAACAGGGTGAATTTGGCTGAGAGTTGGCGGAGGGATAGATCCTCGTTGTTTGGCCAAGTCTCGAGAAAATGAATTATGACATTAACGTCCCACAGATGGGAGTATTTCGGTTTAGGGGGGCGAGCCAGCTTGATGCCCCGCAATAGTCTACAAACCAGGTGGTCCTGGCCCACTGGAACCCCTTCTAGAGGGACATGGGCAGCCGAGATGGCTGAACGGGAGACGTTGATGGATCTGTAGGAAAGGCCTAGGTCGAAGAGATGAGAGAGAAAATTCAATATGAACTGTCGAGGGGCCGTAAGGGGATCGGTATCCCGTTCCAGGCACCAATTGCACCAAGTGTTCCAGGAGGAGAGATAGCATCTTCTAGTTCCAGGTGCCCACGAATACCAGAGGAGTTCCTTAGATCTCTGCGATAGTCCTCCGAAGTGCCAGGTTCCCCTGAAAGAGTCCAAGCCACTAGGTGGAGGCGGTCTTGCGTTATCATTGGATGAGGATTTCCTTGAGGGTCCTCCAGGAGGTTGGGCCATGGAGGCAGAAGGAGAGGGTCTTGGCAGGAGAGGTCCAGAAGATCCGGAAACCATGCTTGGCCCCGCCAGAGTGGGGTAATTACAACGAGTGTGATCTGTTGTCTGCGAATCTGCAGGAGGACTCTGGGAATCATCGCAAACGGAGGGAAAGCATAGGCTCCCGTCGTCGGCCAACTCTGAAGGAAGGCGTCCACAGCCGAGCATTCTGGGTCTGGAAGCCAGCTGAAAAATCGTGGGACTTGAAAGTTCGTCCGGGAGGCGAAAAGGTCTAAGGTGAATGGACCCCTGAGTTTGGAGATGTGGAGAAAGATGTTCTGTGTAGGCGCCAGTCGCTGCCATCTCTCCAATGTCGGGAGAACCAATCCGCGGTGATATTCGTCTCCCCTGGGAGATATTCTGCCCGAAGAGTGATGTTGCGTTGGAAACAAAACTCGTAGATGTCTTTTGTCACTTCGGAGAGGATGCGAGATCTGGCCCCGCCCAATTTGTTGATGTATTGGACGGCAGAGATATTGTCCATCCGAAGGAGAATACAGCAGTTTGAGAGATGATTGGTCAAACTGCGAATAGCGAATGAGCCTGCGATTAACTCCAGACAATTGATGTGGAGGAGGTGTTCCGAGGTGGTCCATGGTCCTCCGGTGGAGGTTGTCTGACAGGTTGCGCCCCAACCCTGGAGGCTCGCATCTGATTCCACCACGAAGTCTGGGGTGGGACCGAAAATAGCTTTGCCGTTCCAGGCCGACATGTGGTGGAGCCACCAACGGAGTTCCTCTCTCACCTCTGAAGTGATCGGGACCCTCTGGTCGTATGATGGATGGGACCGGAGGAATTGAGCTTTCAAGCGTTGCATGGCCCGGTAGTGAAGGGGGCCTGGGTAGATTGCCTGAATGGAGGCCGAGAGTAGGCCTACTACCCGAGCTAATCCTCGAAGAGGTAAATCCTGTTGACGAAGCGTTTTGCGTAGTTCCTTCTTGATCGCGGATAACTTGGACTGAGGTAGGCGAAGAACACAGGTTGAAGAGTCGATTTCGAATCCGAGAAATTGAATGACTCTGGTTGGGGACAGTGACGATTTCTCTTGGTTGATGACGAACCCCAAGGATTCGATTAATGCAGAAGTATAGTTCGTCTGAGAACGCAGTTTGGATACGTCTTCGCAGAGAAGCAAGAGGTCGTCGAGGTAGATTAGACAACGGATGCCCCTTTCTCGCAGATGTGTGGTGACTGGCTTGAGGAGTTTGGTGAAGCACCACGGAGCGGAACTCAGGCCGAATGGTAGACATGTGAATTGGAATACTCGGTGGTGCCAATGAAAGCGGAGAAAACGCCGGCTTGAAGGGTGTACTGGTACCGAAAGGTAGGCGTCCTTGAGGTCGAGACGGGTGAACCAGTCGCCTGGTCGGAGGATGTCTCTGAGGAGGTGAATCCCTTCCATTTTGAAATGTCGATAAATAACGAAAGAGTTCAGTTGACGAAGGTTGATGACTGGGCGAAATTCCCCTGACTTCTTCTTGACTAAGAAGATGGAGCTGAGGAAACCTTCGTCGGGTGGAGCGAGTTGGATCGCTCCTTTTGTTAGCAGAGAACGTAGTTCTGAATCTAGGTGAAGATTCTGAGCCCTTGACATTTTTGGATAGCGAGGATAACCTGTTTGAGAAGGGAGAGAATGAAACTCTATGTAGAAACCCTGAACTGTGTTTAGGACCCAGGTATCTGAAGACAGGGTCTTCCACATGTCTACACAGTGAGACAACCTGCCCGCATGATAAACAGTAGAAAGATGAAAGGGAGGAAATCTCACCTGATGTGTATCTACTGCGTCCGCGGGTTCTGTATCCTCTTCCTCTATCTGCTCTTTGGGAGTAAGAGCCTCTTGGTTGATAGTTGGGGAAGAAAGATGAAGTTGGGGTTCTCTGGCGCTGGTTTGTGGTCCAGAAACGGCTGACTGTGCGACCCCTTGTACGGCCAGCCCTGCCAAAAACACGTGAGGGTTGATAATGAAATATTCTTTTCATTGATGATTGCGCCTTGTTTAGTGTGGCATATAGGTTTACATGTTTATGTAATTCTTTAATGTAGGGTTCTCCAAACAATAGACCCTGTGCTTTGGGGCCCAATTCCTTGGTTCCCAAGTCAGCTAACTTAGCATCCATACGCAGCAGCACTGCTTTTCTACGCTCAGTACAGAGGGATGTATTAGCATTGCCCAGCAGGCAAATAGAGCGTAGAGCCCATTCTCTGATCACAGATGGGTCTAGAGGGCCTTCATTAGATAAGGCTTCATCAGCCAGTAGAAGAATTTTTGCCAGAGGCCCTAAGATGTCCAGCATTTTGTCTTGAGTTAGGCGTAGGCTGCGTTCAATGCCCTTTTTTTGGGTCACGGCCTGATCTAGCCAGATATGTGTAGAGCAGCGTATCAAATTCCGGGGTCACCGCGACCTTATCCGGTAGAGTGGGTCTGGGACATTCAGCTCGTAGTCGTTTGCGGACCTCCCGATCTAGGGGCCTTCTGATCCAAAAATGAATATACTGGGAGAGATGGTCTGGTAGTGACCATTCGGATGATCGAGGATATCTGATTTGTCTTGGGTCAAAAAGCGGTTGGCCAAGTGAATCCAGAAAAGATTCAGTATCCCTAGATGGAAGTGATCCGGGTAACATAACTTCAGATGGGAGGTCTCCCATAGTCGACTGAGGGAGAGGAGGCCCTTTTATGGAAGTCTCGGGCCAGTCCTCCTCATCTTCTGAGGAGTGGTCAGCTTGCCATTCATCTAGGATGGCTAAGGGATGCAAGTCAAAAGAGTCTTCCTCTTCTTCTGACAGAGTAGGTTGGATGGAGTGTTTCTCTCTAGCATCCACCTGTTTAGGGCGTTTCGACGGTTCTTTCCCCTTACGCTTGAGGGGTTCAGGCCCATTCCCTTTCCAATAACGTTTACATGGTTTGGAAGGGTCTCTTTTGTTGGAATCGGAATCCTCCGCCTCTTCGTCAGAAAGCGGGGTGTCGGAAATTTTAGGGTCTTTTGGCTCAATGGGCAGCACCCGAGCCAGGGCCTTTTCAAGAGAAGCAGCTACGGCTGCATTTATGATAGCTTGCAAGTTTTGATCTTGATTTGAAGCCTCCATAGCAACAGTGGTACCTATGGGGCAGAATAGGCCAGTGTTAGAGTGTATTAATAAGGCCGTCTCTAGATATCACAGTATGTTATCATTTCAGATTGCAAGCTGTAAGTGGGGGTCACCCAGTATAAGTCACCTCAGGGGATACTTTTTCAAACCCGTATAGAGGTATAGTGGCACAGACAAAGCGGGCCAATCATGGGCTGTATATAATAACAGCAATCATAATTTAGTTTATGAGTTTACTTTATGCACATGCATAGTAAAGAAAAGTTGTAATCATAAAGTTTATATGGGAAGAAAAATTGTTTAGGTAGTAAATTAATTGATTTGGACTAAAATATATGTAGTACCTATTATTGACCACCAGAGGGAAATAGAGAGACACAGGGAAGAGAGACTGCGTGTGGAGTCAAACTCCTTCTTTATCAGAGAAGGAGTAAACAGGTAGAGGACCCTCTGGTGTAAATAGGTGTTTGTATTGTATACAATATTGTTTAACTTTAAGCAATGTAAATAATGGCCGCCGCACGGCCGGAGTGAATGGAGATCGCGGCTCCAAGAAAATGGCCGCCGCGATCTCGCGCGTGCGCACTAGTGAGGGGAGGAAGCCGTTTGGATCTCGCGGGGAGCGCGAGATCCAAGATGGCCGCCGTGCGCACAGGGGACCGTTGGAGGCGTACTCCAAGGACCAAAAGCCCGGGAAAACGCGGCAAAAATGCCGCGCGGAGAAAAACTGGGTTAAAGAGGTACCATACCCAAAATACAATATTTATACAATACTAATAAAACGGACAGTAATCAAAATAAAGGAGGAAAGAAGTGTGAGGAAATACACTATAGAAGATAATAGAAAGTAAATCAAACAAATAGAAAAAAGGATAAAAATATATACATGTTAATAATATAGTAAATTAATATAGTAAATTAATATGGATAAAACAGATGAGAGTTACAATAGAAGATAAATCCTAGAAAAAAAAAATCCCCCACAAAAGTAGGAGACAGTGGCACTCTGACCTGTACTGGTGTGAAGCAGCAAAGAAAGAGGAAATGACATCACTGGGAGGGACCTATATACCTTGTTATTCCTTTTTTCTTATTGGTTACCTTGTTACTATGTGAAAAAGTGCTGCTGTGAAGCTTAAGTAAAGAAAGTCTTAAGCAAATACGAAGCCTCCTGTCATGTTATAAAATTCAGGTTTCATCTACTAACCAAGGCCTTTTAGTGGAAATTGCTCAAATAAAACAGTCATAGGAACCTGCTAGGTTTTGTATTTAAAATAACCTTTGGGTCCCTGATGGTCTTTTAAACCCTGAAATTATTATTTGCGTGTTGTTACAGTAAGTCACTCAGAATGACCACTTAATCTTTAAAAAGATTCACATGATCTTGTACAAAGAGGCTGGGAATTCATTAGCACAGAGTGTAGCCATCCTATCCACACCTGTATCTAAAGGGCAGAGCTATTCCAGACATGAGCTTCATGCCAGAGTTCTGACTGATGACCCAAAGTCAGTGTCGCAAGTAGATAGCTCCCTAATTCCCACAGTATTAGGGAGCTATTTGCTAAAAGGCTGAAAGACCAAAATTGGTCTTCTAGCCAAATTTACTAATACTAACTAAAAAGATTACTTAATATTAGTAATTAAGGGAGATTAAAATATTCCTTCTACTCGAACGCCAAACAAACCACCCACAGAGAAACGCCCAAAACCTCCCCAGACACACACCGCTTGCCCTCCACACCAATGAACGGACTCCCACCCCTGACCCCATCCCCTGCCCCCGACCCCATCCCATCCTCCTCCCCCAATGACATTGGAAACATGTGACGGAAGGTAATCGAGACCCCGTATTTACCGCAAATGTAATGTATGTAACAGAAATAAGAATTTGTGTGTTTTCAAGGCGCTTTCAGTTAATAATTGAGTAAAATGACAGCAGCTACCACACAAATAGGGACTCTCTACCCTATAGATTAGTACAAAAAAGATTAGGTGTACACTCAGTATTGGAAATTAATGATAAAAACCACCACTGGTGTGCATATGGAGCGCTTACAAATTTGTTGACTCACCCATATGGGTTAACATACATATGTATGGAAAACGTGACTCATAGCGATATATCTGAAACAAATGTAAATGCAAGAAATAGTGCAGATAACGTTTTCAATAAGTGCAATGAGGGAATATTCTATATGGTCTCACTCACATGTAGCAGAGCCCTATAGGATAGGCTCAGATCTCAATGGCCTGCGTGTGCTTATGGTGACACAGTACCCAATCGGTCTTCTAGGCGTCTGGAGATCCTTATGCATACATGAGAGAGAGAGAGAGAGAGAACAAGGGGAAGAGGAGAACCCCTAGTGCGGTCAATCCCAATGTACAATGTCAAATAGTGCAGAAATATAAATATGTAACAAACTAACCAATTATTTCTATGTTCTGTACTCATGTAACATGAAAGAACAATGCATTTCCAAAGACAGCTTTTGCACAAGCCTTGTTATTGTTTATACTCATGCTTTTCTGTCATTACAAAATAAAGAATTAAAAATAAAAAAAAATATTCCTTCTGCCCCTACTCTCTATTTCGCTAGTAGGGGCATGTCTACTAGACAGTGAGCAGCCGATGACTGCTCACTGTTGTAAAAAAATAAATAAAAATACCCAATTCCTATTGAAATAATAAGTGGGAGGACATAGTGTTGCCCAAGCCCCCATCCATGACATGCGAATGAGGGCTATTAAACTAAATGGGGGACCTAAAAACCACTTCCGGCCCCACCCATGCGTGTCAGGTAGGGGCCCTAAATAACAAAAGGTGGGGGGGGGGGGCATACTGCATACCTAGGTCTGGGCATGAAATAAAGTTAGTTAAAAAAAAAAAAAAAAAGGTAAAATGGGGGGTCTGCTTCATGTTGGTTTAGGATAAGTTCAATATCTAAGCGAGAAATATAATGCTCAAAATATTCCAGCAACCATAAAGGGATCAAATGGCCTTTTAGGCAATTTTATGTCTAGAAGATATAGAGTATTGAACATGTATTTCAAGTCACCACTTGGCATATTTGGAGATGGCTAGAGCCGCATACTGTTAATAGTGTCCATCAGAAATCATTCCTTCTCTATGTGCTTCTATTTTGTATAATGCATATGTGAGGACTATATCCCTGAATCTCTACTGGGGTCACAGCCCAATTTGACTCATCCACTGAAACATTTTGTTAGTTTGTTTTATAGTAATAGTTCGTATTTAGAAAATGTGTGTCTGTAATTATCCAGCAGTTGCTCTTATAAAAGCTTTCACATATTGTAAAGGCATTTTTAATTTTTTTTTTTTTACTTTTTATTAAGTGGTAAAATTTACTACGAATTACAGGACCAAGTCATGAACTGACACTTTTTAAATCCCATCCCTCACTTTTTTCATCTTTATTTACAGTTAAAGCGTGATCCACCTGAACGGGTTCCTGATTTGCTAGCCCTTGTAAAAGAGCGGTATTCAGAGCTTCAGAGCAAAAATGCACAAGCTGACCTTAAAAAAAATGACAGATTTATCCAGTTTAAAGAGCAGCTTCGAGAAATGAGACGGCAAAGTAAGTGACGTGTATATGTGTTTAAGAATTACAAATATGTTACACATCATGTTGTTGTTTTTTTGTTTTGCTTTTTTTGTTAAGTTTATCAGAAATATTCTTGACGTCAGCTGTAGTTTTTCTTGAATTGTAATCGGTAAGAAATTTTCAAACCGGCTTAGTATCTAGATAATCTTCAAGCTTCCTGGATTCAAGTAGGTGTAAAATGTCCACATTTTAGATAAAAAAAATTTTTTTAGAAAACACGTGCCACACTTAAGGAAACTAAGATTTTAATGTGCATTAAACAAGGATTGTGAAAGAGTAAAAACAAAACAACTATATAAAACCTATACTATTACTCCCCATCCCAGGGTCTCAGGATCATAACTAACCAAGCTAATTCTGGCAAAATAGTTAGAACCCCATCTCCTTTTCTTTGAGATAATTCATAATGTCTTTGTGAACAACTCAGTTTTATCCTACGTGTGTGTGTGTGTGTGTGTGTGTATATAAAATATTCTATAAAGCTGTAAGACTGTTTTTACAGAGCACCTTTCCACAGAACAGTGCCCGTAAATACCTTGCCCGTAATGGTCCGCCATTTGGAAGACACAAATATTCCTTGACAGTTGTTGCCGTGACTCGTTCCGATCACCCCTGAGTTTTGCTGGAAATGCTCTGTTATCTTTTAATACTCGATGGAACAGCCCCCTAATCTACCTTACTGAGTAAAACTTTTCCAGCTGATAGCCATGGTCTCTCACATTGCAATACTGATTCTTTAGCCTAATTCACCCCAATGCACATGAGCTTACAAAATATCTGAAGTGCTACATGTGCCCACTGACTTTCCTATACTATTTCATTGACTCTACCATGTAGGCCTACTAGAAATGTCCTTTCCTTGTTGCACTCCCCTTTTCAATTGACATAAATATTTTCTTATACCCCAGGTTTCCCTAAAGGACCACTAAAGGCTCCCATTCCATTTCATCTCAATGAAATGATCTGGGTGCAATGGCCCTGTCCTTTTAGCTATGCAGTGTTAAACATTGCAGTTTAGTAGATACGACAGTGTTTTGATTAAAGTTATCAAACACACTTCTAGTGGCTGTCTTCCTGACAAAATTGACCTAGTTTCACTCGGTCATGTGACTAAATATCTATGAGGACGTTGAAACTCCACCAAATGCAGTTCATAAGGAAGCATTGGATTTAATGCTTTTTCTGTGAGAAGCATTTGATTGGACGCGCTGCACATACACATGTCATTCCCAGTGCTTCTCTATGAGGAACATTGGACTGGAAAAGAAGCCAGGAAGTGACACCTTCAGGATGACTACCCAGGAGAAGGAGGAGTGGGCAGCAGCACCAAGTGAGTCTCTGCGATTGAAAACAGGTTAATTTTGCATGACAAAATTGGGGCCATGATCGAACTAGGGACTAGGACACTATAGCATTAGGAATACATGTTTGTATTCACTATAGTGTAATGTCAGTCTTCTAGAATGAAGATTGATCTGCTGTCTTACTTCATATCATATGTTGTTTTAAAAAATAGTTTGAAAAGTAAAAACTAATCAACTGCACACATATACCGGTATATGCCCATTATCTTTATTTCTGTGTAATAGTTCTTATTCTATTTATTAATATGTATAGAGCACCAGCGTATTCTTCAGCTATGGATTGTAGATTATATCATTTATGTCTATATTTATCAGTATAATTACTAGACATTTGATGTTTACCTTGTGTAAGTCGAGTAAGCAGGACTGACCAATAGCCTGTAAATTCTGCCTCGACACCAACATTCCTGATTATATGAGAATCTGCATTTTATAAAAATCATCCATTTTGCAGATAATATAGGGTCATCTTTTTAAATTTGGAACAATCCCATGAAAGTAGTTTTACATAAATCAGTTTAACACAATATTACAACATATAAATAATATTTTCATCTAAACAAGCTGTGGTATAGTAAGCTGTAACTTCCTCTTGAAGATGTTCTGG